GCCCCCCCCCCCCACACACACAGGAAAAATTTCTAGATCCGCCGTAGAACATGTCCTATTTACTAATCTGGAATTTCCATAGTTCCCTCAATATTTAAAATGGTAAGGAAATAACAATTTAAATAATCATAATTTTTTCTTTCTAAGCAATAGTCAACATTTAAAAATGTGATCATTTGATTACACTACTGTACTGCTTTCTTCAAGAAGATATAAACAGCATACGTCAAACAGAGTTTAGCTAAAAACTAAAGATTGTAGAATTCAGAATTTTGTTTCAATCCTAACAAACATTTGTGTTAATGCATAAAATGGATAACACCAGGTTCTGAATCGATATCAAACTAGTGCTTTCCTAATATAGGAAGTCACGTGAACTGTGCAACTTGATATATAGATAAATAAGTAAAATAAAAAAAAGTATTTCGAAAGTCAGAAACACGTTTCTAATCTTGGATGTCTCAGACTCAGATTAATTAAAGATGTCACCGTACATCCAAGGAATTATGCAACTGAAACAAATGTTATATTTCCTGTTATGTCCATCACTCATTTCCACAGAGATTCCGGGAAGAAAAATTACGTCATAAAGGAAAGAAAAAGAGGGCTGTTTAGCTGTGACGTCATAAAAACCGGATTCAAGGTCTGCACAAAGAATTAAACATGATTTCAAACAAGGGCGAGATGTAGAAAGTACTCTAAAATTAATTGCTGCGTTCAACACATTATCGGCTCCAGTAGTGTTCTTTATTAAAGTTTAATGCCGGATAATATCAAAGTAATCTATATAAAAGCTAATTTTTCGAATTGGATAAAAAAATTGTAGCAATTTCTTCAAAATAATTAAATTTAACATATTTATCGCCAAATCTTTTAATTTGAGAACATTATTAAATTACCTNAACTTAAACAAGGATTATACGATTTAATCGGGTCTACCCTTCTTATATGCAAAATTCTATATAAATTTTCATAATACATATCTGCTATACAATGATGTGTAATATGTAAATTTTTAGTAGTATGGAAAGTCACGAAAGACAGTTTGCGATGAAAAAAGTAATATTATGCAATATTTAGCAGGAAATTTCCGCAGACAATGGATTTTTGACGAAATACATCATAAAAACTCTTCACAAAGGATCGTACATGAAGAAGAAGCAATTTTAATCTACCATAAGAATGCGTGCAGGCAAACGAAATTATTTCATCATCGATAATTTACGTCATAAATTCAAAAAAGGACCTTCAACTAAAGTATTTAGATGATGTTTGTAACTTAAAATATTTCAGCGAGTATGGTTTTTTCTTTGACAAAACAAATAAAAAAGAAAAAAGAAAGAGGGGGTGGAGAGCGATTAATAGGATTGTAAGTAAAATACTGAACATATATTATTTATAAAAATGTATTTCCTTAATTCTTTTGTTCTATCAGACGAACTGAAATAATTTATTCTTTTGAAAACATTATAAGAGGATTTTCATTAGATAATCATTAGCATATTATTAAGATAATTTTAAAATCATTATCATGATCATTAAAATAATTTTAAAAATAATAGAATTTCGTAAATTATTTTGACAGAGAATGCGTTAGAAAAAAGAATAATTAAAACTGGCAACTTGTTGTTTCCTTAAAGATTATAGATAAAAATTGTGAATAAAAAAAATCGTCTGTTGCTGATGAAAGTTGAAAATACTTTTAAGTCTTATAATTAATAATCGAAAACAAAAAATTAATAAATGCATAAAATTAAAAGTTAATAAATAATTCATAACTTTTTGCATCATACCTGAATCGAGAAATCCAATTCAAATGGAATTTTCAAGCGAATTCTGTCTCAAGTATTTAAAAGTGGAACGAAAGACTGACTCACCGTTCGAATTTCTGGAACACTGAATTTCAATGTTTCTGTACGAATTTCTAAACCAAGTGAAACAGAGCGTAACGTGGCTACCATTTTTTGAAATTACTGCAGTTTTCTTAGGTCCTGCATCAATATTTTTTATTTGATTGCAGTAATTTTCAATAGAAACACCGCATTACCAATTAGAATTGGGTCCAAATAATATAAGCCTGAAACAAACTATCGTAAAATAGTTTATTATGGGAAAAAAATTAATTAAAATTACTAAATTAATTAAAATATTATATATACAGTCGGACTTCTATTTTACGAACTTCCATTTTGAGAATTTCTCTACTGC